AGGATCCAGTCGATAAGAGAGGACTCCGTCCTGTTGCTGAGCACAATACCTTCCCCGCGCTGACCTACTGAACGAGCTTCATCGTCGCCTGGTTTGCGAATAGCGTATCTCGTCGGCAAATCTGGCGCGCTCAAGTGGCCTATAGTAGTAGGATCCTGGATTCTAGTTTGCAACACGCATCAAATTTTGCTTCCTTAGGATTCCATTGTACGAGCCAGACAAGCTTGTTGACCTAGCTGCATCGAAGTTCTCACATTGAAGACCCCCAGATTAAGTGATTAGCGAGGCTTTAGAATCTGCAATCCACTTCGTGATAAATTCCTCACAGTGCTATTTGGCAACGACCTTTGGCGAGCGACATCCAAGTTGCTTGAGTGACTATTACAGGTTGGTAGAAGGGGTAAAAGGAGAGGGTTGGGAACGAAAGACAAAGAGTTAAACATAGGTTCAGATATCTGAGTAGTAGCTCACTTATCACTACCCACCCCGCTCGATGCAATGGACAGCGCGGTCCTGATTATCCTGCGCGACGACCGATGCAGTATGGAATTATTTTAATTTTATACATACATTAGGGTTTGGTGGACGGATACTGCTAAGGTGTCCAGCCACTAAACGGGAGAACTATTAGGGTTCTCGTCCAAAGCCTTTGGTTCTAACAAGAACTTAACCACAAGGTGAGGCGAAGTGGAGGCCCATTTACTTAGATCGATTACTCCTCCACCGCTTTTTATCGACTGAAACGGCAAATTCCATGTGAACCCCCAACCTGGAGGACCAGGAGACTAAACTTCGTCTGACCTCTACCCATTGACCTTCCAGGCATGATAAGATCTCTTGGCTTTATAAAGCCATCCTGTGTAGCTCGTTGGGTCATAGAGGTGCACAAGGCATCACACCACGTCAAGGTGTAGTCTCAGTGTTTCTAGCCATTGATTAAAATAACCCCCCATTTATCCATCCACGAAGCCCAATGCGACTTATATGATCTGGTCTCCTTTTCACGATTTTCAGGCCGCCTGTGCCAAGGCTTAGTTTGACTATCCTTGGCTTTTTCCCACCTACTGCATACCTCAGCATATGTCCCAAACAACGCAATCTTAAGAGGTTGGCAACTTGCTTCAGCGGAGACCGCAATTACCGAAAACCCTGCACATAACCCCAGCATTACTTATCCGGTTTCCACGTTGACAAATTCAGTTTTATGCAATCACACCAAACTACAATCAACGTTTCGGTCGTTTTTGAGGACCGTCTTCAAACGGGTTAACCTCAAGTGAAGACCAATGAGAGAAATCTTGTGTGTGTTTGTGATTGTGGCAGTAGACGTTTGACATGTGCTTGAGGTGATTTAAGTAAATCTTTAAGCTCTAAGTCAGACCGCGTGAGATGATCATTCGACATCAGAGAGATCGAAGTGGGTGCATTGTGCGTGTGTGTATGCAAGAATATTTTATTCATAATTTTAAATATGACGATCATTTATGCGCGTGTTCTTTGTGACTCTAATAGAGAAGTTCAGAATTTATGATACTGGACGGAGTCATGTTTAACTATTCGATCTTTGGATTCTTATTGAGAAACGGGCACCACAATGCTACTGAAAGCAGCATTTTCAACTGTGGCTGACAAGATACGACATTGGAAGAGATAATCTAACAAATGCCTCAGGCGTCGATGACGGTTTATGTAAAATAATCTAATAAATAATCGTACATCCTTCTTGGATCCCAGAGCGGGGTGCCCTCTTCGGTTCGGTGACCAGATATGTATCGAACACACCGATTCCAAACTGCAAGTGGTCTTTGGGAATTTA